GGCGGTGCCGATAAGGGGTGTACCTGGAGATCATCTTTGAGGATTTAGATAGGCACCGCCTAATTTAATATTATGTTTCTCACAAAATTATTGTTGTCCCATTTTCATATTTACATAGCTCATCGGAAAAAACCTCATCTTTCCAATGAAAATAAAAAAAAAACAAAAAAAAATTCCCGAAGGGGTGAAAATCGAAAAATAAGGGTTGATTTTGAAAAAAAAGGGGTCAAAAATTTTTTTTTTTAAATTTTGTATACATTTTTGAAAAGTACGTGAAAAATGAAATAAAATTCATTATAGATAAATTAAAATCCATTAACTTTTGTCATAGTTATACAGATTTGAAAATGACAATGTTACCATTAACGGCACCCTTATCGGCACCGCCTACTTTAATATTCTGTTTCTCACAAAATTATTGTTGTCCCATTTTCATATTTACATAGCTCATCGGAAAAAACCTCAGCTTTCCAATGAAAATAAAAAAAAAAAAAAAAAAAATACCCGAAGGGGTGAAAATCGAAAAATAAGGGTTGATTTTGAAAAAAAAGGGGTTAAAAAATTTTTTTTTTAAATTTCGTATACATTTTTGAAAAGTACGTGAAAAATGCAATAAAATTCATTATAGATAAATTAAAATCCATTAACTTTTGTCATAGTTATACGGATTTGAAAATGACAATGTTACCCTTAACGTCAAAACTTCAACCCCCTCTACTTTCTACAAATATTTTTTTAATGAGTTTATATTTTAGGGATTTATTACTATCATATAGGACAACAATTTACCAAAGTATGAAGCCAATCCCAGAACATTGACTTTTTGGGCTGGGGCGATTGAAAAAGAATCTCTCATATATGATAATAATTTAATTAAATAATAATAAATTAAAGCCAAATTTAACAAAAATTACTGCAATATTCTTCGTAAAGAACATAATATAAGAACATTATAAAAAAAAGTTACATTGCAATATTATTGCTTCAATGTATATATTTATTAATTTCTTGAAAATTTATTTCGACTACAAATGAAAGGCACATATATATATAGTACTACTATTTCAAATTTTCCAATGTAGGTTGAAAGATTGCACACGAATATTGCATAAAACTGTATAGATAGTGACTAAAATTATCCAGATAATGTGTGTATACGAGTAATTAACTCCACGAAAAAGTTAATTATTTTCATACAAAATCTAATATAACGATGCGAAAAGAGAAAAGTTTACTTTACCTAATAATTAATTTTAAATTACATATACTTAAGAAAGCATTTAAATTTTAAATTTAAAGAAAATTTTTTTCATTTATTGCACTATATTTTTATTATTATCACTTTTATTTTATTACTTAAAACATAAATATTGAACACCCGAAAAAAGTAATTTGCATTTTAGCAAATTTCTTTTATTTTTATCCGATTTTTCCTTTTTTATCCTAATATTATATAATCGAAGGATATTCTCTCAATTTTAGAGAGGAAATTGTTGTCCTACCTGATAGTAAATAACCCCAAAAATTTTTTTGACTTTTTTGAATTTTTGGGAGAGATAGAGGGGGGGGGGTCAATTTTATCAGTTTTACCTGACACCGCCTACTATTTTAATTTTTTCTGTCTTTGCAATAAAAAAAATTTTAGCAGGTATGTTTTTTGAAGGTTTTTTCATGCTCTTTCCAATGGTGAATTTTGTTTTTAAAAATTTTTGAATTTTGACCTTGATTTTCTATAATTAAACATAAATTTGCTATTTTCACTAAAATCGGTCCGATTTCTTTTTTAAATAAATAATTGCAAACGAAAGCTGAGGTTTCTTCCAATCTGTATATTATATATAAATTTTCAGAATAGCAAATTTATGTTTAAGTATAGAAAATCAAGATCAAAATTCAAAAATTTTTAAAAACAAAATTCACCATTGGAAAGAGCATGAAAAAACCTTCAAAAAACATATCTGATGACAAAATTTTTTATATTGCATTTATAGACAGAAAAAATTCAAATAGTAGGCGGTGTCAGGAAAAACTGATAAAATTGACCCCCCTTTATCTCCCCCAAAATTTCGAAAAAGTCAAAAAAATTTTTAGGGATATTTTACTATCTTCCCAAGTTTCACTCTTTTTTGAGAAATCAATTTTTTAACTCAGGACATAACGCACATAAAATGCCTCATATAGGTACATATATTGTGAAATCATTTCTTTGGAAGTTTTCTCCATATATATTTATAGTAGTCAATTCGTTTAAGAAATATTAGTTATAAGTTAAATAGAAACCCGAAATAAAAATTTTGTTACATTAAAATTTGCTTAAATATAGAAATTCGGTTAAGTAACAATTTTTTTGAAAGGAAATTCAGTTAGTATATATTAAAATTCAATTTAAAAGAAATATTTTTCTTTTTTTTTGGTCAAAATTAAGTTAAATGAAAATTTTACTTTATTAATATAGATAATTTGTTTAAAACACATCGCGGTTGAAATGTTAATTTTTTAAAATAAAATTACAATAAAGATCTGTCACATATCTATTTAAAAATTCAGATAAATAAGAAAATTATTAATAAAAATAATCGAATAATTATTGTAAATGTTGCAATTTTTTGTTTCATAAGAAAAATGAGTAATTTATAGAAAGATCACGCAAGATTTTCTTTAAAAATAGAAAATTCAACTGAAAAAGTCATTGTTTGTCCCCAGTCTCGATATATGTATATATACATAAATGTATACGTGTATAGGTATATATAATGATCTGTCGAGTAGTCCCTCTCACGTCTTTGCCTCACAGGAGTTTCCTCATTATTTTCTCCCCCCTTCTGGGCCCCCTCACTTCAAAGAAACTCGGCTCAGCCTACACTTGTAAAATGCAGAGGCAACTCGCGGAAGCCGCGTGCATTGCGCAAATCATAATATACAGAGTGGGTAGGAACCACTATTCCGTATCGGCCTTGTGTTTTACTAAAGAACATACATATACACCCGAGCATATTTGCGGGGTAATAATGGAATATTTATGAAAATTGTAACGCAATGTCGTCAATGCCGCCACTATCTTATTCCGATTATGACAGCTTCTTTTTCCTCGTGTGTTTTTATTTTTTTTTTCTTTTTCACTGTCACACACTGATATCGGTAAAAATTTATAGATGTCACTTCCCTCATTATTTCCCTATTTACATATAAATCTAATAATTTTTTAGATTAAAGACAAAATTTTAATTTTTTATCAATTAAAATTCATTTTTTCTAAAAAGAAAGTAATTAACTACCCACAAAGAATGAAAATTAAATGATAAAAAAGATGAAGTAAAATTTATATTGTCATCTGTTTTTATAATGGTAATTTTATATTGTCCACGAGCTTTTTCTCTGTAAAGGAAACACTATTTGAACAGTTTCTTACATAACTTCAATCTCATAAAAATGTAAACGTAACAGTAAATACAAACTATGAGTAACTCAATAAACATATGTAATCATGTGTTTCTCGAGTTTTAACGTTTAGACCAAAACTTTTTTTTTTCATTTAATTGCGTAAATACAAAATTTTGATACTTTTTGAAAATTTCTTGTTTTTAAAAATTAAAACAAAAATCTTAGATCAAAGTGAAATATTTCATTTTTATAACTTAGAAAACATGTGAAGAAATATTGCTAATGAAAGTCTCGAAAACTAGACGGATCCTAATCTGGACCGAGTCCGGAAATTATCTACTATTGTAATCGGTTTTGTGTAAATTTTTTTTTTTTTTTTAATAAAAAATTTAAAATGTAATAAAAAAGTGAAGAAATAATAAACAAAATATAAATAACAATAAATAAAACAAATTACAAACAATGAAAAGAAGAAGAAGAAGAAACGAAAATTCAAAGTAATGGACCCAGTAAAAATTATATCTAACATTCATAATGGAAAAAAAGTCTTTATTTTAAGTAATAACATTTAAAAAATTTTAAATTTGACGTTTTTGAAGTTCAGTTTAAATTTTAAACATATAAAATTATTGTAAATTAGAAAAAGCTGTATCTAACGATCTTATTTTAATTCTACATTTTGGTGTTAAAACAAGATCTTACGAAATATACTAAATTTAAGCCCGACAGTTCTGAAAATCAGCAACTCATGCTTAATTCATTTTTTCAATATTAAACCACAAAAGATCTTATACTGTAATAAATATAGAGATTTAATGGCAATTGGAGTTAGGAGTACAATTTTTAGAGTTAGAAATCAACTCCAAAAGCGAGTTAACATTAGATTAACTCCCTTAACATCAACTCCTAAAGGGTGCGAGTTTAATAAAATCCCGTTGGAAGTAAAAATCTAATTCCCTTTTTTTAGAGTGATGGCTTCACACAAAGGTTCGCCTTAAATTAAACTCATTCTAACATTAAAAACTAATTGAATTTCAAACACATTTTGAGGCAAAGATCATTTTTTTTTTGCTGCTAAACATATTTCTATAATTGGCACACTCATATTTCGGCATTATAAGTATAAAATTGTCCGAACAATAAAATTAACTGTTAGCGCATGAATGTTGAATATCACACTCTACCTTTATATTTGAATATGTATATCCTTAATTCCAGTACATCACCACACAATAATATTCACAGAACAGAGATTCACTTGATATTGAAAGTTAAAAAAAAATTCACTGTTTAATAAAAGTAAGAAAAAACAAAATTTATCACAATCATAGACACTTGACACATAATAGAGGAGCGAAGTTTAAAGTAGACCAATCAGACGAATGTCGATGAGAATCACTGAGAGCTTTCACGCGCGTTAAATGCATTGCGTGTACAGTGCTGCACCATGCGGGAGAATCCCGCTTCAACCTTACGAGGCAACTCCTGGCAAGTGAGTCACGCGTGGCTCGGCGTGCGCGTCTGACGAGGAACCTTTTGCCGCTCCCTCCCTCCCTCCCGTGACCCCTTGTGTGCTAGCCGTTACGCCAATCCCCACAATCCTCTCTCTTTCTCTCAACTCCCTCCCCCTCCACTTGAGAAGAGAATCCCCAGCTCCCTTTCCCCCCCCCACCAAAAACTCTCGTCGTCACGAATCCACTCTTCTACGATCTACGGTGCACTGCCGGTGAACGGGTGATTGGGTCACGCACCCCGTGCGTCTACGTGTCCTAGGACGTTCACGGCCGCATACACGGAATCCCCATTGTCTTCGTTTACATCTCTCCCTCCACCCATTGGCCTCACGCCCTCTGTCCTCCTCCCACTACCTTCTATCTCGACCCGTATACTGTCTTTCGTCTCATTCTTTTACTCCCCCGCACATAATAATAGCAAGAAGTTGGATATTTTTCTCTTTGCAACACTGTTTGCAATTTTTTTCCTCTTATCGCCCGCCCATGGAAGTGGAAATTTGACCACAGAAACACGTGTATGTATTTGTATGATGTGAAAAGTTAAGCGAATGTGAATTTATAATTTAATTTTTGTGACGCAAAAAAATTACTCACTCACAGCTTCAGGCTCACTTCAAAAAAAAAGGGAGTTAAATATTAATTCCCAACGGGACTCTATAAAAATTCCCATCCTTTTGGAGTTGAAACAAAAGGAGTTAATTTTATGTCTAGAGAGTTAATGCTAAGGGAGTTAATTTAATGATAACTCACCTTTGGAGTTGATTTTTAACTCCAAAAATTTTATACCCACTTCCGGTTGCCATTAACTCTCCAAATTTTTGACAGTGTAAGATTAGCCCTTAATTAAATAAATTTTAAAAATTAAGATAATCTTAAATTAAATATTGGGTAAAATAAGATGGACTGTAAAAAAAGGGAGTTAGATTTTAACTCTCAACGGGACTCTACAAGAGTCTCATCCTTTTGGACTTATAGCAAAGAGAGTTAAATTTATGCCTAAGGAGTTAATCTAATGTTAACTGACTTTTGGAGTTTTGATATTTAACTCCAAAAATTTTACTTCTAACTCCGGTTGCCACACGGAAAAAAATATTATGTCTGAATTAAAGTGTACATGAAATTTAGATCCTTTTGAGCTCTAATACACTGTAAAAAAAGAGAGTTAGATATTAGGAGTTGATGCTAGGGGAGTTAATTTTATGCTTAGAGAGTTAAAAATTAACTCCAATAGTGAATTAACATTAGATTAAATCTCTTAGTATTAACACCGTAAGCATAAAATTGACTTCTTTAGCATCAACTTCCTTTACTTTAACCCCTTAACTGCTGATGACGACAATTTGACGCACAAAATTGTCGTCATCGCAGTTAAGGGGTTAACTCCAAAAGGATGTGACTTTTATAGAGGCCCGTTATTGGGAGTTAAAATCTATAACTTCCTTTTTCTACAGTGCAATATAATTAATAGTGATATATATATGAGGATATTCTTATATTTAGTAAAACTTTACTACTCTCTAAATCTGAATTAGTAAAAATATTTACTAATTTAAATTAGTGACTCACTTATTGCTGTAGAATTAGTTAAATTTTACAAATTGTTAGTAAAAGTTACTAATGATTAGTAAAATTTCACTAATTTAGAAGCAAAAAGTGAGTCACTAATTCAAATAAGTAAACATTTCTACTAATTGACATTTAGAGAGTAAATATAATTAATTAATAAATTAATCAAGAATTTTAAACCAGAAATTTGTTAAGAAGTATTCGTCAACCGAAATAGTTTTGGTTTCTAAATTTTGCTAATTTTCTTCAGAAAATTTTTGTTTTGGTTTTTGGGTATATTCAATGTTAAAAATTTCGATTTCGCTTTAACACATACTGTTAACTTGAGTTGAAATATATACATAATCAACTTAATTTTGAGTTTTATAACAAAAAGTGGCTCATGCATATAGATGCGTCAAAGTATTTCTCTTATTTATCCATTTAAAATTCATTACATCTCACTTTTGTGAACAAAAGACTAGAGAGAGACTGTAATGTATTTTAAATTACAGGCATTCCTATATATATATATTATTTCAAAATGTTCATCATTGATTATTTGATACAAATAAATATTTATTTGATAATAGTTAAGTAATCGATTATTTCAATCAAATAATTTTTTTTCAGGGCACACTATACAATAAAATCAAAAAATGTTATTTTTAATCGATAAATTTTTTTTTGTTTCTAATATATTTAAAAGAATTAACTTAATAACACGCAACTTTTCAAGAAACGATAAAATGAATATTTCCGCGTTGATTATTCTTCTACTTTAATGGCAGTCGTCATAATGAGCTTTAAGAGGAGAGGGTCCTTGAAAGCTTGATAAAACTTTACACTTTATGCTTTCGCGAATCCATTTTAATAATTGTTTCTCAAGATTTTCTCGAGTGTTACTTCAATGGAAAACTTTTCCGGAATTCCTTTTTTATATAACATATATATATATATATATATACACCATTGGACATGAAAAATCTCGTCCATTAAAATGCAGAAAGTATACCGCTCACCCTCATAGATTTTTTATGTATATTTCGCGTCTGATGCTTTTGACAAAGATAGCTTTGTTTTCGTCAAAAATACGTCATAAATGTGGGTTCGAATCTCTATATATACGTATACAAATATAAATACATATATATGTATATCTACCAATAGTTCGTGATTCCAAAGTCGTATAGGCATGCAAGTGAATATGCAAATATTTTGGTTGACGTCGAAACACTTGATCATCAAAGAAAAGAAAAAAAAATTCTATGCATGTTTTTCGTCAATATCGACGTCAAAAATCTTTACCTTATATAAAGTATGCTTGTAAAATTTTTTTTAAAAAATAGAATAAAATTGTAATAATTATTACAATATACAATAAATAACAATAGCAATTATATTTAAGTGAAATGTATATAATAATTATATAAGAAATTTTATAGATTTAAATGAAACTCAAAAGTCAAGAAAAGTGTCAGATAGAATTTCCCTACTATGTTAGTTTTTTCTTTAAAAAATTCAAATATTAGACATTAAAGTAGGTTGTAGATGTAACGGTACATTCTCGATGGTAAACTTTAATAGTTTCTGGATGAACTTAATTATCTATATAATTGAGACATTTATAGCAAATTATTAATTAATCATATTAATTATTTTTTTAGTTATTTAACAGTTGCACAAAATTTTAATAATAAAATATTAAAATTGAATATACAGAAAATTATCATTTATAATCGTATGTATTATATATAAAGAAGTAAAATATTAGATTAGATTATTATTCAATTGTTATTATTCTTTTCTGTTATTTCGTAATTTAAGGCAAATTTTAAAGTAGTGTCAAATTTCGAGTTTTCCTATATATATAGCAAATATATTTGAAAAAAAAACTCGGAAACAGAAAAGTACGAAATTTTACATTTACGCCTGCAGCAATTTCCACGAATGCACGACAAATCGAGAGAGAAAGAGAGATTTCTGTGATCTCACCAACCATACGACCACAATATTCCTTCAGCTTTATAAGGTATGTTTTCTGTATAAAAGAGCTTGATATCCCCGATGAAACTTTTAGATTGATATAGTTCACAGTCGTAGTTTTTGTATTATCTCAAAACAGACGAAAATATTTTTCCAATTAATCAATAAAATACCTGAAAAGTATATATCTAAATTTTTATCCGCACTGAAAAAATTACAATATTCGATTTAAGAATACATCTTGAATCGCGCTTAAGAATAAAATTTTCTGCATTTTAATATTTTTTCAAATATTTCTTTTCGCATTCGAAGTTGAATTTTAATTCTTTTGAATTTCTTCACAAACTCAATCGATTTCAATTCAAAATTTTTATTCAAAAAGATATTTTAAAATTTAGCTTAGATCATTATGAAGAAAAATATACTCTTTAAATCTGAATTAGTCACTTCTGACTAATTCAACTACGCCAATTCGTTCATTAAAGAAGAATCCTACAAAGAATTGAAACAAAAATTAGCTAACTTATGTGAAAGATAATTTAAATTTTAAAAAAGCTTTGGTTATTTAAAAGATTTTCCATTATCAACATTATTTAATGCGCACCACTTTTTTTTGCTTGCTACTACATAAAACAAACGTTTGCTAAGTTTACAATTCGCGGGGATTGTACGTAAATAAAAAAAAAATAAATGAATCAGTCAATCTGTGTTTTACTGATTCAAATTAAGAGAGTAACAATCATATTATCCTGATAGCTACGATTTTCTTCTTTTGTGCTACATTACTTTGTATGTAAAAAGACTTTATTTTGTGACCCAGTTGCCAAATAAGAACCCTAAAACCACAAAAAATTCAACACTTAATTTTATATTATTTTGGTCTAAACATTTTTAAACGTCTTGAACTATTGAATTCAACTAACAAAATTTTACAATCTCTTAGCTACGTATATATACATATATACAGCAAAGATTTAGCTGCATCATCGTCTTTATCTTCTCAACCTGAAAAGTACATTCTCCGCAATGAGAAACAGTACCTGTTTCTAAACGTTAATCAATATAATTGAAGACATTCAAAACCTACATTCCATTATATCGAATAACACACATTATTTGTTTACAAAAATTTACGATTAACCACAACTACATTGCTTTATTGTGCGTGGTCAATTAAATTTCTATATATAAGAAAGTAAATAATTATTCATTCATTAAATTTATCATTTGAAATGTTCAATTTTCGTTTTTTTTTAATTTATAAAAAATTTTGTTCACGTTTTCAAATTTATATGGTTTTAGATATACTCTCTAAATCTGAAATAGCGACTATTCGCTTTGAATTAGTGATACTATATATTCGCTTATTCCTATAGCACAGAGTATATGCAACTGGGAATAAGTGAATAATTTGAAAATTCGCTTATTACTAGCGAATAGTCGCTATTTTAATCAGCCCAGAGTATGCAGCTACGAATTAGCGAATAGTCACTAATTCAAATTTAGAGAGTATTAAATATGCTTAAAAAAATGCCGCAGGAAAAAAACAGTTAACTCTTGATAAATGTCTTTTTGCCTTACGGCAGTTATCAAAAGTTCACTGTATCCTCTTCAGTTAATTATCGATAGATTACTGTATATATTGCATTATATATATATATGTATGTATATCTCTCAAAATAGAAGCAGTAATCTTATCAGGAAAGTAATGTCTTTGAAACAATAATAATTAATGTACAGAAGCAACCAACGTTATTGTTGTATGTTCGTATCATTATTATTTGGTTTCTTCAACTTTTTCTCTCATTAATTTTTCGAAATAAAAATTTTCGCCCAATAGTCTATATATATATATATATATATATATAATTAGGCACTGAAACAAATATTAACCTACTATGAAACTGTGAAAGGTTTGAGTTGACAACAAAACATTTTGGTTGAAAACGTGAAATCAAAATTTTTATGTTGCGCCAACAAAATTTTGGTTGTCTCAATCAAACTTTAGTTGGCACAAACTTGGTTCAGGCATCAAAATTCGTTGTTCTTTCCTATTGTGTCAATATCAAATTTTGTTTGTACCAACTAAAATCTAATTGGGATAGCTAAAATTTTGTTGACGCAACAAAAAAATTGATTGCCCCTTTTTAACCAAAATTCGACATTTCTTCGCAGTGTGGAATAGAAAAAGTTTTAATTGTTTCAGAGTTAATTCTTTCACTATTTTAGTGTAACCTTTTACTTTTCGAAGTTCTTTTTCCTTGTGGTTTTATAGGCAACAAATGGAAAGGGGATAAAATTTTGATAATAGAAATATTTTTTTTGGCCCAATTCTGTCTGGGGTAAATGTGTAATAATTTGCTGTTTTTATCAAAAATTTAGGATAAACAACTCGTTAAAAAGCAGCGGCATTTCTCCTTTTGTCTCAAAAGTAACCACGTGGAATGAAAGAGAGATAGAGAGAGGCACACAGCAATAGGTGCGAAGAGATCAGACTTAAGAAAAAGGATATCCAACCTGTCGTCATGGTAACGCCGCTCACTTGTTACTCCATCGGTTCTATAAAGCCCTCGATCCTCTCGCAGCCTCCGCAAGAATACGAGCACGAGTCACGACAATCCATCGCACCAAACATCTAACCACGCGGCTGGGGACGCCTTCTTCTTCTTCTTCTTTCCCCTTGCCCTCCTTATTCCCCTTAAGCAGCAAGAGAAAGGTCGAGAAGTCAGCAGCAGGAATCGCCCTTGTCTGCCTTTTTCCTTCCACCTTGCATTTCCACTTATTTCTTTTTAAAATTCCCTTCTCAAAATATCAAATTATTATCTTTGTCAATGAATCTCCAAATAATTTGTCAGCAACTAAAGAAATATCTACTCCAAAAAAAGAAGTATCAAATTATTATTATCATTATTCGTGAGAGAAATTCCTCGTTTCTGGATCACACTTGTTTACTTTGATGATCAGAGAGAGGGAATTACTGGCACCTACAATTTTATCAACAACGGACACCTTCTATTTTAAGAAACTGTTGCACCAGATGAGGTAGAAAGGGGGGTTTCTCCTTCTTCTTTTCCGTGGATATTTCTTTGTGGTGACTTGATATCGAAGAAGAAGAAGAAGAAGAAGTGACTCTTCACGCTCGTTATCCACTTTATATGAGCGCGTCAATCTGTTTGCCATGCAAATCCCGTCCAACCGGTGCTGACGTAGTCATCGAGCAGCAACACAAACACCAACACAAAATATCTCCCTACTAACACACTTAATACATTAGTCATTGCCCGCGGGCGCACACACACACATTATTATTACCAATCGGAAGCCTCTCACAAATAATTATCTCAAAAACCCCCACACAATTTATACCCGTAAATATTCAAAATCAAATTTCATATCACAAACACTAAATATTTCGAAATCCTTCAATTGCACACGTGGTGTGATGATCTAATCTTGAAAAATTGTGATAATTTTCAAGAGATCAGTTAATTATTGAATTTAATGGATTTTGTAAAGGTGTATATTTATTTATAAATGATCGATGGATCGAAAATAAAAAGTGAAGAAAAGTCTTGATTCTATTTTCTCAACAAGTTGATTTTGCGCACGAGAGTTCATAGCACGCGCACAAACACACACACATACACCGGAGCTGTTTAATCCTCACCGCGTTGTTGTTGTTGCGTAACTGGCCGTTTCTGCTGCTGACAGAGACTAGGAGAGCTGGAGGCCGTGGATCGCGGAGCGGGTGCCGTGGGTGAGCCTGTGGGCGACGGTGGCGGCGGCGGCAGAACGGTGCGCCGTCTGGCGTGGCTGGCGACAGTCTGCTGCGTTCCAAGAACCACGAGGCGATTCCGTGTATCGAGCGCGTACACTCTGTTCACTGTTGAAGAGGAAGGTTGCCCAAGGGGAGTGAGCGGAAGGCCTGTTGAGTGAAAGAGACAGAGAGAGAGAGCAAAAAGGACGGAGAGGAATTCAGAGGAACAGTTCGGTTCAGCGCTTGTGAGAAAGAGAGCGAAAGACAACGCAACTGGACTCGGAATGGGAAAAAATAAGGATTGCAGCAGGGACGAGAGAGAAGGGGGAATCTTTCTTTGCCAGAGGCCGCAGGAAAGGACTCTCAATATCCTTCTTTCTCAGAAACAAATATTCTAGAGATTCCTTCTCAGTAAGGACTCGGCATGGATTAAGAGAAAGAGAAGAAAATACCCCATACAGAAAAGAGTTGCTGTATAGGTGTTGAAGATTCAGAACTTTAACAAAGATGTTTAATACGGGTTTTTAAACGGAAGGGCAAGATGTAATTAATAGATTATAAAAGAAGAAGATTGTCAGCAATATGACTGGTGTGCTATTCTCGAAATTGTTCATATGCGAGCAAATTCGATGGGTAAGTTTCGTGCACGAAACAAAAACAGTATTTTTCAGCATCATTCAAAATTTCATTCGACGATCGTTCGTACACAAATAGGTTGTACAGTGTTGTCGTCATGTATTTCTAGTGACTTTTCAGTATATTTCTACTGCACTATATTTGCAAAAGACCGTATTACTAAATCCATCCTACATGATTTAAGAAATATTTATTGAGAGCAATATTATTATTAATCAAATTCTACAGATGATTTTATATATAATCTGCATAGACGAAAGAAAAATTAATGTGAACAGTTCGAGAATATATACGATTTTCGACAAAGTCATTCGAAAGTCTCCGATTCGTGCACAAAACTTATTTCAAGAATAGCACCCCTGGGCTATAAAACAAAATTCGAAAACCCTTTTGTTTCGTTTCGAGTCAGGTTTATAGAATTTAAAGTACATTTTGTTTGGCTTTGATTCGAATATAGCTGAATCAAAAATTTTAGTTTTTGATTGAAACATCAGAATCAAAAATCAACTTTGTATATTTTCGATTCTATTAGATTATGATATAGATCAATAAACCAAGTCTTTATTTCAACGACACTTCAAAAATGCATTTAGATCTTTACCTATATAAGCTTTCGCTAGACTAAACTCAAAGACAAAAAGGACTTATTACGTCACGTCAAAAGTGAACAATATTCGCTTATACCGAATCTCTTTGTTCGATTTTAGTTTACATTATGTGGATGATCGAACGCCGGTCTATCGCCCCGAAATCAAAATTATAAACGCCACCCAGAACGAATTCGTCGAAGAATAATATAAGATTTAAACAGAGATAATTTTTAAAACATTTATATTTTAATAAACCAACAGATTTGGACAATAGAATCAAAAGTTAACTTTTTTTAGGAACATCAGAATCGAAAATCAAGTACGATTAGTTTCGTTTCAAAAATCAAAATAAAAAATCAACATTGTTTAGTTTTGATTCGAACATCAAAATCTAAAGTCAATTTTGTTTAATTCTGATTCAGATAAATTGTTGAATCTTGTTCAATTTAAAATTACCGAATATTTAAATGTACGGGGTTGAATATTTATGTAGCATTTTCACACTGGCCAACAATATTTTGTTGGATAACATATTTTAGCCGATTCGTATAGGTAATTAAATATAAATGCAGTTATAAATAACGGACGATTATTTCATGACAATCGAATCTAGTCAATTTGATTTTAATTTATTTAACGCAAATTTTAATTTATGAATTATTTACACATTATTCTATATATGTATATTAGTTTTTGATTTTAATACAAGATGTACATATATTCTTCTGATTTCTTTGTTTCGTTTCGTTTTTTTTTCAGTTCCAAGTCTAAAAGTCGTTACGAATATCTGTCAAAGATCAAGGTATTTTGTATTTAAAGAAGTGTAATGACCTCTGCGTTTAAATAGAATTTCAATTTAAGATTACGGCAAATAAGACTCTTGCATATAGTTGTGCTCAAAACAATAAAAACAAGTTAAAATTATGGCTAACACAGAGAATAGTAATTACAACAATGGTAATGAGTGAAACGAAACATTTTGCATAGAAAAACAGGAATTGCCTGCAGATACTGTAAATTAATGTTTGCTGTCGAGAGTCTATAAACACAACCAAATTATTTGCTATTATATATGACAACAAACAAGTTTGTTACGATAAACAATATCAGTCAAAATTTTTTTTAAAATTGACCTCTCTAAATCTGAATTAGTGAAAAAGTGAACTACCAATTTAAATTAGATCAGAATTTGAAAATTCAAAATGTCGATTAAAAATGTTAATAATTGATGAATCTTTCTGAAAATTATTCGGAGGTTTTTTTTGTCGCTGATTACGAATCTGACATCAGATTTTGAAAATTCAAAATGGCGACTCCAATATAGTGGAAAAAAAATTCCAAATTCGATCGGATTGTTAACTTTTATATGTGGGTTTTAAGGGTTGCTGATTATGAATTTTATAATAGATTCGTAATCAACAACCACAAAAATCCCAGAATAACAAATTCCAACCAAAAAGATTTTTTATTTTGTGTCCTACATACTGAATTCGACATTAAAAATTTTTTGAATCTTACTTCCAAATTGTCTTTTTTTTGTAATCTATACGCAAAAATATAGATATGTACCAAATTTCAGCTATTTGTATCAAATTTTGACGTACTACTTTCGTTTGTTCTTTTTCTTTTGACTTGTTTGCGAACCCCGGAAGGACGGCCTTCAGGGAATTGACCTCACCAGCTGTCGATTGGAAAGACTTGTTCATGACTGGAAAAGACCGTGTGTTCCAAAGAGCAAACTAAAATACACATCTCGTTGGCAATGTCCAACTATATTATATTTGGCCAGATAGAATGCATCGAAAGGATTTAAGCTCTAACGTTTCATGGGAAACTCTTGAGATACATTCATCTTAAAACAAGATAATGTCTCTCTTGTACATATTCATATTTTATGCACGTAAAACAGAGGCAAAACTGTCCTCTCCATTTACAGTATACATTAATAATAGTGCAGCATATTTTTTTTTCTCCATAAATTTTAGATTCATGAAATTTAGGAAAGAGAAGAAAAAATAGAATAATAATTATATATTTAACGAAGTTTTGTTTCAATCTTTATATTAATCTAGTATTTAGTTAACAAAATATATATATATTAATCTCAATTCTTATTTAGTAGAATTTCTATTTAACCGAATTATATATAAGAATTTGTTACGTAAAACATTTCTTTTGTGAAAAAATGAAATGAAATCAACCTGTTACAGATTATTTCCATTATATGTATTATAAAATATTTTTCTCAGCGTTTTACAGAATGTGAGAAACCATAATGATTTCAAAAGGACAATCGATAAAATGTACATCCTTCATAGATTACAATGAATATACATATAATACAATTTGAACAAATGGATATAGTTATTTTACAAAAGGATTTCAATAAACTTCAATGTGTAGGTATATAATAATATTTGCGGGTGTAACTCACAGGTACACTTTTAACCTCGCTTTTAACATTTATGTCCCAAGAGATAATTTGACAATCATAACAAAAATATTTACCTGCCTTTTGTCAGAAATATGTATTAATTTTTAACACAAAAAATTTTCTTCAAAAAAAAAGAGAGATTTGACATTAAAATGTAGATAATAAGAATTACTGCAAAATCTAATTATTTATTTAATTCGATTAATAAATTTCTTGAAATAAAAATAGTCATCTTTTTTCAATTTTTATACCATTTTTTTTTATGAATATACACTCTAAATCTGAATCAGTGAAAATTTCACTGAATTCAAATCAGTGGCTCAGTTTTCTTTAATTCATCAGTGGAATTTCACTGGGAATCAGTAAAAACCACTGATTCTCAGTGAAATTCCACTGGTGAATTAAAGAAAACTGAGCCACTGATTTGAATTCAGTGAAATTTTCACTGATTCAGATTTAGAGTGTACCCCAGTTAACTGAATTTGCATTTAACTTTATATTTAACCACTGAAAATTTATAAACTAATGAGTTTTAGAAAATAATAATGCTTCTCATAAATAAAATCGAGTAATAATAAGTATAATAATAAACATACGGGAAATATATAGTTTCTTGTTTATATGTAAATAATGATATCAAAATTTTTATTGAAAATTATTGGTTAACGCAATTCATCGAAGAGATTTCAAAAATAAATAAAAGAAATTGTATTTACTGTATAATATTTCAAAATCATTTAACAGAATTATGATTATATTATAAGAACGTATTACTATTATTCACGTAATTAATATTATATGTATGACTGATATGTAATATATGTATATTATATGTGTGCATATATAATTTATTATAATTTCCATTAAAAAAATATTGAAAGAATGAGTTAATGAATACTTATATATTAATTTAATTTTAATTATGCAATTTAAATATTTTTTTTAATGATTTACAAAAGTACAACTCTGAAAAGTAAATGGGCAAATGTATAAAAGTTTCACAAGAGAATTTGTTTGAAACTTTAAAATAAAATATGTAAATCAATTTTTGGTCTTAAAATCATAGTTTAAAGTTTTTTCCCCCTTTTCAACAGATTTTGTAAATTTTTTTTAATTTCAAGAGATACATTTCTCTCTATCAAGCCTTATTTCCTCCATTGTTAAATTAATGGTCATTATCAATTTTTCTTGTCTTTTATGAACCAATTCCAAAGTAAAATTCTGTGCACTGTAAAATTCATTAGAAGATGATGAATACTGGATATTAATTAGAGAAAGGCTTCCATGAAATTTGATTTTGTACTTTACATCTTAGTTGTTACAATTTTTTTTAATTCAATCATTATTAATATTAAAATTTTTCATTCTACCAACAATAATATTAAATTCTACAATAACTGTAATTAAATGTCTAATATTTCAGAATAATTTTTCATTATGTTAAAATTAAAATTTATTTAAATTTATATTATTATTAATGTAATATTTATAGGTACAACAAAGAAATTATTTTATACCTTTCTAATCGGACAAGATTCAATTCCCAAGAATCGTTTCACTATTAACTTAAATATACCAGGATTCTGTTCGCACACATCATCTACTGCCCTCATTCGATCATTCTTCACTTTATCATATAGAATATGTTTTTATGAAATATTCTTGTTTTTGAGAAATTAATATTTACGTATTTTCTATGATCAAAATTATTTATTTAAAACTTTAAAAAATTTTTAAATTGAAACCTCAAGACTGTTTGGCCCTTTCTTCACTTCATTTTTCCACTGAATTAAGCCATTTCTTTTTTCTTCAATAAAATTATTGTTCGTTTCAATTTTATAATTTATAAATTTTGCATACAAAAGTCCAATTACATGGTTTTTCTTTTTCTAAAAAAAAATACTTGTTAAACTTAAGTTTTTTAATAATACACTGAAAAAAAATTTATTTGATTCAAATAATCTGTTATATGACTATTTACATATTTGAACTAATAACTTCTATGTATTTGAAATAAATACTATTTAATTGATTCTAAATAATAATTATCTACTACAAATAAATATTTACCAGATAATAGTCAAATAAGCGATTATTTGAATCAAATAAAGTTTTTTTTCAGTGTACATAATTTAAATATATTTATTATGATGTATTTAAAAAACACAAACTTTATCACCAAACAATAAATATCTTTCCAAAATAATTGAGAAAAGGAATAAAAGAAAGAAAACTTTAAACATTTTGGTTTTGTTGTAACTGCGTATTCAAATAGCGAACGTTAAACAAAATAAAATATCTTCTTTTTACATATACTTACATAACTAGTTTTGTTCAATTATTATTTATTTTATTATCTATATAATATTATTGTTAGTATGTTGATAATGTCTAGAAAATTTGCTATTCTTTTACTGAAAAAAAGGTAAAAAAAAAAAATATATATAACTAATTTATTATTAATTATATTTTAACAACTTATAAATTGTAAAAATACAAAAAATTGCAGTGAAATTTTGTTTCACACCCTTGATATTATTTTAATTATTTAAAACAATTAATACAACTAGATTTTACTGTATTTTCAGTATTAAATAATTGTAAAAGCTTTTGACAGTTTATGTTTGACAATCTTTTTGATCATTTACCGTGAAAAATTTAATTTTTTTTATATGGCTCAAATTTCTCAAAAATTTTAGGTACAAAAATATATTATAAAAATGAAAACATTGTAAAATCTGTCAAAAAATAGAAAAAAAGTGAACAAAAAGGTTATTGGCAAATGTAAAAAAGAAGAATTACTGAAAGGTCTATTGTATTTGGTATGTATAGAATGTTAGTTGCTAGAATCTAGAATGGAAAAAGAAGGAGAGTTGGAGAAGCCGCATGGTGTTCCAAGTGGGGATTTCTTGGAATGTCCCAGCGTCTCGGGCGAACAACAGTGCTGCGACTCCTCCGGAACTCCTAATGGCAAACACTGACTTACGACTTGGATATACTTTTGCCATGGTGCGAGTTGAACTAAAGTAAAGACTGGTTGCCCCAACTTGTGGGCCTTAGCTTCACAAGGGCCCTGAGAGGATCTCATGTTCTTCAAAGAAGAGACGAAGCATGGTTAACTCACATTACTCTCTCTCTCCCTCCTTCTCGCAGCATCACACTCAAAGTTGGCTTAACATCAACTCAAACCCTATAGAATATATACTACTCCTCTGTTTTACTCGATTATTTGGTTCAACAGAGTGACTATTAAAATTTAAGTATACAATTTTTTTTAATGCAGATTTCAAAAAAATTTCAACATTTTTCTAAATAATTCAAAAAATAATACACAAAGGACAATTTCTAATGTTAGTGAAAATAATAAAATTTGTAAAGTTGTTAAAAAAAATTTCTACTAATTCTTATTTTTTGGAGGTCCGTTTCACGTCGAATGCCCCTATTTTGGTAGTAAAAAATTTTTTTTTTTCTTTAGAGAAAATTAAAACTCACTTTTTGCTTTTGAATTAGTAAAATTTAACTAATTAATAGTAAAAACATTTTTTCTTTTTACTACCGAAATAGTAAGTAAAAGTTAACTACTTCAATAGCAAAAAGTGAGTCATTAATTAAAATTAGTGCGATTCCAAGTGAGATTTTGACTTTTTCGGAGTAGGTTAACCGATTGCAATGAAACTTTGGAATTTTGTTATATATAGTAAGACTAATCTTTAACGTAAATTTCAGCCTAAAATATTTGTTAGTTTACGAGATTTGCAATAATAACAAAAAATTTAAAACTGCTATATCTTCCGTTCTAATAAACGGATTGAGGTCTACTTTTTTTTAAAATGTCAAGGAAAATGAGAGGAATAAATCTCTTTCAGAACATTTTTTTATAATTTTACAATTAAAAAAATTATTAAATAATAATTGAATAACTTTCGCGCGACTAACTAAAATTCAATCACTTAAACGCTAAAATGATCTTACCTGTGTTTTCTTTAATGTTCCAAAGGATTTTTATTGTAAATGTAAGTTTAACTTAAGAAATTTTATTAATTTATTAGTATAAACAATTGAGATTTCTGCTAGTTGACGTGCAGACGACATTGCGCACGCAGCATTCTCACATAGCCAACTGACGTGATTCGTGGACTAAATTGGCTATGTGAGAATGCTGCGTGCGCAATGTCGTCTGCACGTCAACTAGCAGAAATCTCAATTGTTTATACTAATAAATTAATAAAATTTCTTAAGTTAAACTTACATTTACAATAAAAATCCTTTGGAACATTAAAGAAAACACAGGTAAGATCATTTTAGCGTTTAAGTGATTGAATTTTAGTCAGTCGCGCGAAAGTTATTCAATTATTATTTAATAATTTTTTTAGTTGTAAAATTATAAAAAAATGTTCTGAAAGAGATTTATTCCTCTCATTTTCCTTGACATTTTAAAAAAAAGTAGACCTCAATCCGTTTATTAGAACGGAAGATATAGCAGTTTTAAATTTTTTGTTATTATTGCAAATCTCGTAAACTAACAAATATTTTAGGCTGAAATTTACGTTAAAGATTAGTCTTACTATATATAACAAAATTCCAAAGTTTCATTGCAATCGGTTAACCTACTCCGAAAAAGTCAAAATCTCACTTGGAATCGCACATTAGTTAAAATTTTGAAAACAGTTTCTTAGAACTGTAGAAAAATATGTTATATAGGCAAATTTTCAGAGTCTAATAATATATACCTATATATATATATGGAAGAAAGGTTGAGATGTAAGCTTTGGGAAATATATATTTATATGTATATATAGAAAAAAAAATTGTCATATCTCCGGACAAGCGTTTCCCATGAGTCTCTCAAGTTGTGTTTCACTTGAAATGCCCTTATATTATATCCTTGTCAGTTGTATAAGCTGAAGCACAGTTTTTGGAGTCTTTCTGTCTCCCTTTCTTTTTAAACTGGATGGTTGGCGCCATGTCGTCGAACGCTTCTGCGTCGCAGACACGTCACTGTTTTAGGGTCAGGTCGCGACTATATAACGATACTCTCTTTATGTGTAGATGTTCTGCTTTTCGTTTTTTTCTTCTTCTTTTTTTTTTTGGACAAACGAGCAGGAGTCAAATGATAGAGAACAAGAATGAGAAGAATAGATATATAGTCAGATTGCTTATTAGCCGAAGGAGAAGGAAAGAAAAAAAACATGAGGGCCTACTTTCGTTATAGACATTTTTATGTGACTAATTTAATTTTAATTAACATTTTGAAGGATACTTTTTTTTTGCAAAGAAAAAAGAAGTTGTTAACGAAAACAAAATTTGAATTTTTTATTCCAAATTAGAAATTATGAATTGGAATTGCTTGCGTTATTATATAGTTTTGCTATATATGTATTCAACATAACAATATTTTAAACATTTAAATATTGTAATAATTGATAGATTCTGATAAGATAAGCAAAATATATATTAAAAAAATTGTATATATTATTTAAAAGTTATGAGAATATAAGTATATAATTAAAATATTTAAATATTTGTTTATTTAATTATATAAAAATAGAAAGAAACTAATTCATTTGTTTTATAAATGCATTTTCAGAATTTAAATGCGTTTTTGCTATATATATACAAAAAAGACAATGACAATTTACCATTAAGGTCGTGCATTAGTTATAAGAGTGAGAAAACATATAACGCAAAAAGCACTGACCTTACAAGACACTTATTTTATTATCGTTTATCTCTTTGCCCGAAGTTGTTCAAGCGTTCAATAACGAAAAGTTCTGTTTCACTCAACTTGATAAATTAATGTGTTCCGAAAAAATGAAATTTAAGATAATCGTTAATAGTCGCATTATGAAATAATTAGATTAAAACTTAAACGGGCATCTTTATAATAAATGTACGCTATGTAGTATAAATAATAAAGATTTAAACTTAAAATAGAAATGCTCTGACTTTTCTGATTAAATTTTATAAAAATACGAAAGAATTTTCATTGAGCCGAATTTTTATTTGTTAGAATTATTATTTTGACTTTTCATTAAACCGATTTTGTATATTACAGAATTTTTATACACTAAAAAAAATTCCTAACCCCCGTATACCAGCTTTACGAGAGGAACCCACGAGGCAATCTTGGTCAAAGTTGATTTCGACAATTAGTCGGAATGACTAAGGAAGCTTATCAGAATAACCATAGGTATCTTAGTTACATTGGCTAGAATCACTTTGACTAATTAAACTTTAGCAAAATTGACTATAGATACATACGATATTAACCAAACACCTTAGTTAATATAACTAGGAAACAAGGGGTCAATTCTACAATCGACTTTGACAATATTAACCAAGCTACATAACTATGAATTGACTAGGATGCTTGGTTACGCTGACTAGATTTAAAGTTGCTATGGTTAATAGTCATTAATGGGAAGCAAATTTTTTTCAGTTTAGAATCGAAAATTCACTTCTCAGAATTTTTATTTGTTCGAATTTTTAATAGAATTTCGATTTTTCATACCACAGAATTTATACTTAATCGAAAAGTCATTTAACAAAATTTGTAATTGAATTTTCATTTGTCCGAAATTGCAAATTACCGAAGTACTCACCCATAGCACTATCACGGAGAAAAATGGTTGGCTAATGCATCAATCATGTGACGCGCAAGCGCATTGTGTTAATTGCATATGGTTGCCGCGCTTATAATGACGGTTCATATCGTCGCGTCTCGTGAAAAGTGTTAATCGCGTTTCTTGTTGGCGACATTGTTTCTTATGACGAAGTATGGACTTTCTTCCTTACACTTCGTAAGATAGTCGACATTGAAATGGCTCCAGCTGTTCATCGGGATTGCGCGGAATTATTAGATAATTTAGTATTAGAACATCACAAAATGTATATCCGTTTATTTCAAGACTCACTAAAACCGAAGCACCATAACATGTGTCATCATAGAAGTGCGATAAAAAAGTCTGGTCCTCTCTTTGAATACTGTATAAAAGAGAAATAAAAATAAATTTTCATTTATTATAATTTCACTGATGTCTATAAATGAATTATTATTTACCATATAAGTGACTATATAAATGGAATCAAATAAAAAAATTTCTTATCCGGTCAAGTAAATGTTTGTTTTTATAGTAAAAAAACATTTATTATTGTATCGTGTATGAAAGATATTTTTATTTAATTAAATCTATTTTTTTCTAAATATTATTAAAAAAGGGATAGATATCCCACCAATCAAAATAGTTGTACTAACAAAATTAAAGGTAACTGTGTGCAAGAGAGATGGATGAGGCATTCAACGGAATGTATATACTAGCTATCGAAATTTGTTACAGTATCCAACTTGAGAGTATGCAACAGAAATAGTTGCAGCAGCAAACTAATTTGATCGCGCTATAGAGCCCAACAAAAATTGCTACCCTATCCAATACTTAACATAGCCTAACCAATTATTTCTCTCCGTGTAAAGTTTGTGCAAATTTTAGCTCGATCCGAAAACTTTCAATTTTAAAATTGGATAACTTCAGGAATTTTTCCTCATATGTATTTCATATAATTTATTGTAGGTATGTAAGATTAGAATAGAAATGAATTTTCCCGAAAATATTATTCTCCACATTTTATGTATGTCCATATATAGCGCACGCACACACACACGAAATACAAGAGATATTTTTATATTCTCATTGTCACATGACTTTAAAGAATAAAGTTCAATCTAGGCAAAGTCGCGCTCTTTAATAGCATTTACGTGAAAGCTTGCGCGCACTGTTCTGTATAGATATACATATATATGTAATATGTGCGAGCAATAATATATTCCTGGTATTCGACCCGCAAAAGAATGTCCTTATTAAAAGTCATGAGAAAAGCTGCGGAAAAGTCGCACGTGTGCGAATATAAAATTATTATTATTTTTTTTTTTTGAAAAAGGAAAATTAATAAAGAGCATACACTGAAAAAAGGGTTTGGTATTGACAACCAAACGTTTGGTTGGTATTTAAGAAACCAAAATTTTTTTGTTGAATCCACAAAATTTTAATTGTCTCAAGCATAATTTGTTTGACACAACCAAAATTAGAAAAAAAGGATTTTTAATGTCCTAACTAAAGATTAATTGGGACAACCAAAATTTTGTTGATTCAATAAAACAAAATTTGGTTGCTTAAATACCAACCAAACGTTTGGTTGTCAATACCAAACCCCTTTTTTCAGTATAGTAAATAAATTTTTAATTTTCTAAATTTCTATATCTCGCCTGTTGCGCTTATATACATTTATAGTAGCATTTAGATATTTATTATATATATATAATTTTTAAATCTTTTAAACCCAATTACCGAGTGCTGAAAAAGCCTTATATGTCTCGATTTCTGAGTCGCAATAAATATGTTTCAATCATTTATTTAATAGATAAATTGAGGTTTAAGATATTAACTCACTGATGAATTAACAGAATATCAAATATTACAATAAAAATATTCTATTATTCTTTTATTGTCACAATATTTTATTAAGTAGAAAAGTAATGAAAACATCAATAATCAGGATAGCATCGGTAATAGGGACATTTGCCCTAATTACGTTCGGAAAACGAACAATTTATGTATGCAGATTCTTCAAAAATTCATGATTAAGGAAATGAGTTTATTATTCTTGTATTTCAATTGGTATTGATTATTATTAATTTAACTTCCCTATTAATAAGCAGAGCCTGATGCACCTGTTATTTGAAACTGGGATTAATTTTATTTTATCACTCTCAAATTTTCCTTTGCAAACCCATTAATTATTGATGCAGTATAAGTGGTGAGGGAACAAATTTGAGGTCACCTTCTATCACCGATTTGAAATAGCGCAAACTTGCTGAAACACTTGATGTGTTTCACCAACTCTCTCGTCAATTCATTTTGTCTATATACACTTTCGAATTTACATGGACCTGTTTGTTTAATGTATATATACTACCGTTCGATACACGCGACAACTTGAAATTTTTTATAAATGATAAAAAAATACATGATTTTTATATTTTAATTATCAGGAAATTATACATACGTATAAATATGTATTGCATAAATATAAATTTAATTTAATTATATAAACAATAAAATGAATATTATTAGTTGATCAATACCTGCGGTAAATTTATATAAATTTGTAATACCTCAAATTTTTTGTTTTTGATATATATACCTTACCGAAAAGATTTGTTCTTGCCTCAAAATGGCTTTCCGCCGGCCCTTGAAATTTTTATTCAAGTAATTGAAAATAATCTTCGGCTAAAAAAAATGATATTTTTAATGATCAAAGGTTGAATGGGGATGTTTTGGGCATATTAACCCCTAAATAATAAGGGTTTTGTATAAAAAACCGCTCAAAAATAAATAACAAAACTATTTTTAATTGTGAAACAATTGGCTTGAAAATCGTTACTCGGAGGTTTTTGGGGTCGCTGATTACGAATCTGATGATAGTTTTCAAAAATTTTCAATGGCGGATCCAATATGGCGGACGAATTTTATAAAAAATAATTTAATTGACTTGAAAATCGTTATTCGGGGGTTTTCGGGGTTGCTGATTACGAATATGATGTTAGTTTCTCCAAATTGAATAACACGGTAACCCAATTAAATCATTTTTTATAAAAGTCGTCCGCCATTTTGAATTTTGGAAAACTAACTTCAGATACATAATCAGCGACCCCGAAAGCCCCCGAGTAACGATTTTCAAGCCAATTGTTTTACAATCAAAAATATTTTTGTAATTATTTATGAGCAATTTTTTATACAGAACCCTTATTATTTAGGGTTTAATATGCCCAAAACACCCCCTTTCAACTTTTGATCATCAAAAATATCATTTTTCTTTGACCGAAAATTGAATGAAAATTTCAAGGGGTCGGAAAGCCCTACTCCTCCCTTTTCTCGATTATAGAAAGAATTGAAACTAAAACAATAATTCACTTTTTTTTAGTGTTTCATTTTCAATTCTTTATATATAATTGAGAAAAAATTTATTTACAATATACAATAATAATACGAAAAGTAAGAAAGTTTATTATAATAAACAAATTCTTCTATCGATTGAAAAATTTATTAAAATAAATAATGCTCAATCCGTTTGGAACAAGCAAAATGAATTATATTAAGTACACGCAGTTTTCTAAGATTTTTTTTTTTGAGACCATAAACAGGATTAAAACGTTGCATTATCAACAATTTGATATACTTTATGGTCTCAATTTGAGATCCTCAGAAAACTGGGATAATAATAAAAATAAATTTTTGATTCATTGATATATAAATATACAAAGAAATAGAAGTGCGTTATCGTATTTTGAAATATATGCGGTACGCACGATTTATATTTGCACACAGCCCACCACTTTGCAAGTATATAAGATGTCGTTTGACCTCGATTAACTACTGGTGGTTAATTAGTTCTGACTAAAAACGAATATCCCCAGAGTGGAGTAGAAAATATAAATTTATACGAGTATAATATATACGAAAGTGCGTATATAATAGAGAGAAAGGGGAAATTAAAATAAGAGAAAAAAAGAATTATGTGAGGAGAGAGAGAGAGAGAAAAAGAGAAAGATATCAGTAACAGATAGGAGAAGGATACGTAATGACTAATATGTATAGAGATTGAGCATACATGATAGACTCGCACGACTTTTACCCTATATATAAGACGTGACGTCATTTTGAAATACTCTCATATAATTACGCTCTTTATTTTTCTCAACACTTAAATTTTTTCATTACAAATATTTCTTATATCTTCTTAACACATTTTTGGTAACATAGGTTCTATTAATAGATACTAATACTTAATTTCTTTATAAACAGATAAACATTGAATTCAACTGTATTTTTCCAAATAAGGGAAATAATTTGTTCCACATTTGGAAAGATATTCGCCAGGAAATTGCACTTTTGCTAAGAAGTAAATTGAAAAGTAATGAAGACAAAGAGTCAATTTACAATATTGAAGAATTGTCAGAAGGTACATTTTCTAAAATACAAAATAAATAAATTAATTCCCTATGCTTATAATATTGTTTTTTTATCAGAATTTTGTTTCATTTTACAGAGCAACAAGATGCAGTGGTTCTTTATTTACTGCCGAAGCTTATAAGACCATCATTTTCGAAATACGGAGAAGATCCATGGGCCAAAAAATAAAAAAAAATCAGACAAGAACAGCGATTCATCTGAAAATACTTCAAAATCTACGTGCAATGAAATACAAGAATCGTTCATTTACTTTCATTAGATTAAGGAAAATTACGTTTTGTTACGGAAATGTGTAATAATGTTTGGTATGATGATCATTTTCAAGCATATGAAGAAGCAAATGATTGTATAAAAACATGGAAATGTTTAACTCCAAAAAGATTAAATAAAGGTATTGTTACTTTTATGGTTCGAGGATGTGATGGATCAAATTATATTGCAAAAAGATGGGTATGAATATTGTTAACTTTATATGTGGTGTGCATGAAATTCGTTTTCGAAATATTTTTGAAATATATAGAGAATTTATAAAAATTGTATGTCTTATTTATTTTAAACTTTATTCATTAAAACTATTTAATATTATTAAAATTGTCGTTTCAGATTATTTATCAATAATATAATCCATAATAATCAATTATCAGAGTTTTTGATATTTTCAGAATTAGAAGTGAACAAATATTAATTAAAATTAATATTTTTATAATATTAATTCCTAAAAAATGATTATTATAATATGTAAAATTAAAGTTTTTAACCTTCGCCGGACTGGATACTTTTTATATACACGGTTGACAAGATCCCACCCAGGGTGGGCCAAATGTTTTCTTCTTTGTATATTGCAATAAAAACTTAGAATCATTCAGTTTTTTTCCAAAATTGTTATATGTTACCAAATAATATATTTTATTAATGTTTTGTTGATTTTTTATTTGTTTAAACAATTTATTATTAATAATTTATAACTTTTTCAAATATACATACGACAGTAGAAGAATTTTATAAATTTGTTACCTTTTCTTCGTAGTTATTAATTCAAAGGTTATAAATAAAATAAAATATATAATTCAATTTGCAACAACTATTATTATAAATTGTTTAAACAAATAATTGTTGCTATTTATTAACATTCTTCATAATATTCCTAAAAAATTGCAATTTTTTTCTAATTTTGCAACTTAACAAGCACAACATAATAACACAAAGATTTTATATGAATTTACTATTTAACCAATTGTTTAAACAAATAATTGTTGCTATTTATTAACTTTCTTTATAATGTTCCAAGAAAGTTGCAATTTTTTTCTAATTTTGCAACTTAACAAGCTCAGCATAATAAACATGAAGATTTTATATGAATTTAGTATTCAAACGATTGTTTAAACAATTTATTGTTGTTATTTATTAACTTTCTTGTAGTGTACCTAGAAAGATGCAGTTTTTCCCTAATTTTCCAATTTATCAAACCGAATATAATATAGCCAGACAGATTTGACATAAATTTACTAATTTAACAATTGTTTAAACAATTGTTGAATTTACAATTTTACATCAAATCTATCTTTTATTATATTCGGCTTGATGAGTTGCAAAATTAGAAAAAAACGGCAACTTTCCAGGTGCCGTACAAAAAAAGTTAGTAAATAACAACAATAAATTGTTTAAACAATTGTTGAATTAATAATTTTACATCAAATCTATCTTTTATTATATTCGGCTTGATAAATTGCAAAATTAGAAAAAATTGCATCTTTCTAGGTGCAGAACAAAAAAAGTTAGTAAATAATAACAATAATTGTTTAAACAATTGTTGAATTAATAATTTTACATCAAATCTATCTTTTATTATATTCCGCTTGATAAATTGCAAAATTAGAAAAAAACTGCATCTTTGTAGGTGCAGAACAAAAAAAGTTAATAAATAATAACAATAAATTGTTTAAACAAATGAAAAATTCAATATAATATTTTTTATATCTATTATTTGACATCATAAAACACTCACAGTGAAAAGTCTGCATGATTTCAAGTCTTTTTGTAAAATAGAATTAAAAAAATATCTGAATCATCCCGGTTATCTCCGTACATACATTGATAAAAGTTATAAATAATCAAGAAGAAATTTTTTTTAAAAATTTGTTTTTACATTTTTTGAAAGTTCTTAAGATTTTGTTCAGTGACTTAAAATCGCGATTCAATTAAGGCAAAACTCTAGAAGATATGGCAATTTCAATTTGTCTGGCCTACCCTGGGTGGGCATCTTGTCAAGCGAAGGTTAATAAGAAATTAATACGAATATTATAATTTTCTTATTAAAAAATAACTAAACTCTCTGCATAAAGTCATTTTCAAAAAGTATTAATACATATGAAAAAATAGTTTTATATCCTTCTAAACAGAGCAAAAATTTCCATGCTCAAAGTATAAGATGATTTCTTGATGGCACTGACAGGTAGTGTTGAATAGCTACCGCTACTTTCTAACATCACAAAAATTCCCATGCTCACAGTATAATATCCTCTACTCGACGGTACTAACAGCTATTATTGTGTAGACGTCACTACTTTCTAACATCACGAAAATTCCCATGCTCACGGTATAAGATGCTCTACTCGACGGTACTAACAGCTATTATTGTGTAGACGCCGCTACTTTCTAACATCACGAAAATTCCCATGCTCACGGTATAAGATGCTCTACTTGACGGCATTAAAAACTAGTAAAGGATAACTTATAGTTCTCACTACCAAAATTAAAATTCTCATTTCGCACTGGTTTTCATGATATGTAGGATAAGACATTTTGTTTTGCAGTATACAAAGTTATACTATGTTTTAATATATTTACGACTATAAGCACTTCTGAAAATTTGTAAACCAATATATAGGATAATATGGTATTTTAAAAATTATATTTTGCTAAAAATGACGAGTTGTCATCAGCTTGCCATTAATAATATAAATTTTTCCCAGGATTTCAAACAAAAGTTCCAAGAAATTTTTCTCCGTGATACTCTCTAAATTTGAATTAGAATTCGTTCACTAATTTAAATTAGGAAAAATTTCTACTATAATTTTTAGTCATTTTTCACTAAAACTATAAAAAATATTACTAAGTCAAACAGTACCTAAATATTTTACTCAATATTAGTGAAAATTTCTATAAATTTGAATTAGTGAAATTTTAAAAAAAATTTAATATCAAATTCGTATTCAGTGATTCCAAAAACCCCCGAGTAACAACCCAAATAGCACGTAAGATTTCAGCAATCTTGCGGCACGCTTGTCGCGCAATATTGCCAACCTTGCACGATAAACTTGCCGCAAGCATCAAATGGCCCACCTGATCGAAAGATTGCAGTGTAAAATTACTGCAAGATTGCTCAGTAAGCTTGCACGACAAGCTTGTAGCAAGGTTGGTGCAAGGTTGCCAAATAATCTTGCTTTAAACCTAACATTTTTTAAAAAGTTTTTTATTTATAAATAAAATAAAACAGTTAATCTGACAATTACCATGGACAGAAAATCAACGGATGATTTAATAATGAAAGAAAAGCAGACAATGAGAGGGATTTCCAAGAAACAATCGAACTTTGAGATCTCAGTACAATATATATGCTACATATACAGGAGTTCCTCGTTTACAATACACTCACCAACAGTCAACACTCTCAAGGATTAAACATGCATTCTCGCTTACAGAATTCATGACTTCCATGTACAAGTTCGAACATGCAGAAAGCATTGAACATTTATAAAAATTACAAAAAATTCATTAATTATATGGAAAATTTGTTAATTACCTACTGAAAGAAAAAATAAATATATTAAATTTCAATAAATATAGTAGAAATTTTAGTAAATATTTTTCAATTTAGGGAAAAAGTGTCAAAATACAAAATATATTTCAATTTTAAATAAATGTTTTTTAAATTCTATTAAATATATATATGAAATTCAAAATCATGATTTTTATGGATTTTTTTTTCATTTTCATACCACAATTGATATAAAATTATTTCATATATTTTTTAAAATAATAAATGTAGACATAAAATAAAAAAATATAAATGCATGATAAAAATTCATTTTGAAAGTAGGAAAAGAAGTGTTGCGAAAAATTTTATATAAATTTTCAAATGTTCGGAAATATCAATTCAACTGTATAAGTAGATGTATATACGTGTATATATATATGTAGACAGTTTAAATCCGATAATTGAAATGAAATAGGAAATATTATCATCATGAAATTCATTTATTATTTATCAAAACAGTGAATCGTTAATAAAAAAAATTCTCTCCTCTCTGTCAATTTACGTAGCCTGTCACATGTCACTTCCGTGTTCAATTATGTTTCGCGGCCTTCTGGCCTGAAACGTCAAGGTAGCGAGTTCAACGGATTCTCGCGAGAGGAAGTGGAACGGGAAAGCTGCTGTAACCAGTGCAAAAATAGGAACGTAGGGATGTTTCTGAATATTTTATGCGCGACCCGGCTATACACGCTTATCTCTATCGCGCGTTGGCTTATAAAAAGCATGCTAGGTCGTGGACATAATATTTTGTGAATCATCGCGCATATATAGATTTTTCTCTAAAATTACTTTTTATTATCAATTTATCATTTACTTTATACACCTTTTCTTTTTTTTTTTTTTAAGTAGGACACTTTAATTTTCTGAAAAACTACACTGAGAAAAATAATAATGTAATGTTAACAAAATAATTTGGTGGAGCACTTTTAGTTAAGATTACAAAAATTTAGTTGACATAACAGTAACGAAAGAAGCAATCAATCGAGAAATTTAGTTGGCTGTACCAAAAATTTCGTTCAAGCTTTTGCGTCTGTTAACTGAATAATTTGGTTCTCCAAACCAAACCGTCTGAATGCTCAATTGCGCATGCGCTGTTCTCGTAAATATGTCACACGTTAACCATGCTTCGCTCTTCGTGTCGTCCAGTTTTATTCAAGTGTTTTCGGGATTTTTATGTGTTTCAGAAATTCGGTAAAAAAGTGTGTGTAGTGATGCATATCGAACAGAGAGAATAAAGCTTGTTAAAAGAACGGAAGTTTTTCTCCAGCCTGTATACTTTATGAAAATAATTTACACTCACATTGTCACTAGGATTCTTAGTGTAGTGGTCAGCGTTCTTGATTTGCGTTGCGTAGTCTGAGGGTTCGATCCCCAGCAGTGTTAGGTTTTTCCGCAATAGAAATTAATTTAAGTAGACATAGGGTATCAAAAGTGATAAAATTAAGTGAAAAATAAAAAATATAAGTGTGAGCCAAAAAATAATTTGGTTGAGAAAAGAAAAAATTTTTTTTCATTTAACTAAATTTTTTGTTTGCTTAAAAACAATAAGTTAGTTCTCCAAACCAAATTTTTTATTTGATATATGTGCAACTAATCCGTTTGGTTCGGGCTACTAAATTTTTTCGTTGAATCATTTTTTGAATTAGTGACTC